AAACAAACAAACTCACAGTATATCCTGACGTTGTAAGTGATTCTTCACATACACACACACCGTGGAGCAAACTCACAGTATATCCTGACGTTGTAAGTGATTCTTCACATACACACACACCGTGGAGCGCATAAACAGTATATCCTGACGTTGTAAGTGATTCTTCACACACACACACACCGTGGAGCGCATAAACAGTATATCCTGACGTTGTAAGTGATTCTTCACACACACACACCGTGGAGCGCATAAACAGTATATCCTGACGTTGTAAGTGATTCTGGTTCTGAATATCAGTTTATGTCCCTAACTCGATTACCTCTGTCATATACCTACAGCTACTATAGGTTACATGCATCACCTGCTGAGTTAAACAAATATATACGTGTCTCGAGATTTTCTGCTCATGATTACTTATTATGAGTGTTATTTTCTTCTCACTTCAACACAAGGAGGAAATATTACTGTGTATTCATCAACGCTGCATAAAATAACTTATACTACCTATAATAAACGATATATCAACTTTTTCGGCACCTAAAGACAAGGCGTGCTTGTTTAGATTATAGCGTATACTGAAAACCAATTATATATATATATACGTATAAGGAAGTAACTACGGTCGTCTGTTTTATTTAGTATTTCCAATGTTTATAATTACATACGCAAGAGTTTTGGTTGATAATTGGTTTTATGCTAATCTAATCTTCTGTTTCCTCACCTTTAGAGCCATTTATAACCATAAATATTTTTATTACATTAACCGGCACCGTGAGTGATTTCAAAATACAGCGATAATACACATTGAAGTTGAAAATTTTATAATGTCTGATCAATAAATAAGACAAGTACTGAATTAATTCTACGGATGGGCCACCCCAATTACACATTATTTAATTTAGCCCAAATCCTTGTCCTAAATTATCGAAGGATAAATTTAACTTTTTTTTTTGAAGCTGAGTAAATGTGGTAAATATTACTTAGGGATGTGAGCTCTATGTTTCCTAAACATAAATTGTAGAGAAATGTACTTGTAAGAAGTAGGTATTTTGATCCTGAGCGGCACTGAACGCGACATGTATGTTCAGGCATAGCTATATCTAATTTAGACAGAGAAAAGACAATCAACCAACCTAACCATCGCTTAATGTGACTAGAACAACGAGATTGACTGTCACAGTTATGCACTTTACTGCTTAAAGTTTGTTCAGCGGCATATCACGGCTCGAGCCTTTGACCCTACTATCTGCAATCCTGGCTGCTAACCACTAGGCCACACCCAAGTAATAACCAGTATATCAGGTGTGACATGCGTACTACAGACATCTATCTAGCCGAGACTTCTTTGTTGGCCGGGCAATATATAGATATTCTTATGATGCTAGAATACCGGCATGTTTTTTATTCCAAATCAGGTGAAAATCATTTAGAACAAAATGAGGACTTATCAGTATTCTGATAATAAAACTCCATGGTTATATCATTACTAAGCTTACACGTCTAGAAACCCAAAGAACAATATTCAGTTTATATTATAGAACTGTTACATGAGTATTTCATCGTGGGGCCTAGTATTTTCTCCCAAATTGTATATAATATTAACTCTATTCTTAAACAGTTCTGACTCTTGGAAGGCCTGAACTATTTTCGCGTTTTTTGAGTCCTAAATCGAACTAGGATTTTAATGGCTGATTCAACACTTCTTCATGTTTTTTAGGAATGAAACGCTGAAGTTGCACAACATATTACTAATTTCGCGCCATTTGACTTTTTCTTCTTTCTCTCAATTCAACCAATCAGTGCGCGTGTTTATACTCATACGGGATTAAGGGCAGTTTGTTCAGACAATACTGTTAAGTGGTTGTTGATATCATGTGATCGTTGCTGTGAAAGTAAATAAATATATGTAGCCCTAATTCCCGGTACAAATAGTGAAGTTAGGTTAAACGTCTCCTGAATTTTTGGGCTGGCTCCTAGATCTGAAAGATTTTGTCGAGTACAGTTATTTCATTCAACGATACCTAGCAACGAAGAAGTTAAGCACGTTTAATACCAATTAACAACACCTAACGTTGATTAATACTATATGTACTTCTGTATGGGAAGTGGATGGTTTATGACTCTCCTGTATAGAGTTGATTGGTACTATATGTGTTTATGTGTGGAAAGTGGCTGGTTTATGACTATCCTCTGTAGAGTTAATTGGCACTATATATATTTATGTATGGAAACTGACTGACTTATAACTCTCCTCTGGGAAGTTGATTGGTACTACATGTGTTTATGCGTAAAAACTGACTGGCTTATAACTCTCCTCTGTGAAGTTGATTGATACTATATGTATTTATGTATGAAAACTGACTAGCTTATAACTCTCCTCTGGAAAGTTGATTGGTACTATATGTGTTTATGCGTAAAAACTGACTAGCTTATAACTCTCCTCTGGGAAGTTGATTGGTACTATATGTGTTTATGCGTAAAAACTGACTGGCTTATAACTCTCCTCTGGGAAGTTGATTGGTACTATATGTGTTTATGCGTAAAAACTGACTGGCTTATAACCCTCCTCTGTGAAGTTGATTGGTACTATATGTATTTACATGTGGGTCTGTATGTTAAGTGGCTAATTTATGGCTCTTCTCACTATTTTGAACCAGAAAAAATGGTGTGTGATATTTTTAGAAATGTTCAAAACTGCCTTTACACTGTATACTTTCACGGTCGTTCCTAACTTCCACAGATAGCATTTGCTCTGTCCAAGTAATATTTTATTATAATTCAGTACATAAGATTTTGTAACGGTAGAAAGACAGAATTTTACAAAGTGTCAAAGAAGACAAACACGTTATATATATATATATATATATTGTGAGTCTTTAATTGGTTTGTCTGTAACGTTGAACAATATTCCTAAAGCCGGAAGTGTTCATTTTTTTCAATACAGATGGTTATTATATCGTAGTTGTATAAGGAGCCTCTTTTTATATTCTTTTCTTAACCCATTTACACTACAGCTGTCCCTAGAATAACGTGTAAAACGTCTGGCACACATCATGTCTATTCACATCGAAACAGGATTAGCCTGTAGGTAGCGCCACAAGGCAGACACACTTACTGCAAACCAATCTCCACCAATGACAACTTGAATCGCATGGAAAATCTAACTGCTGTGTATACCTCATAATTATTATTCCTTCGAGCCTCTGTTTACGGCAAATATAACGTTCTTTGTACACTATTTATTTAGTTATGAAACGACCAATCACCACTAAGGATAATAATAAGTGGTATCTTTAATCAGTAATTGTCCTATAAAAGTTAAGAAAAAACAACAATAATAGCTCCCTTTTGTTTGTTCCAAATGATGACACAAAGTCGTCTATGCCCAACTTTAGTATACATCTAGTTTCTTTCATAGTCAAAGCCAACAATTTGAAGACGGTGAGAGAAACCCGTAAATTGAAACGGACGTAAAGACATAAACTGACAAGAAACAGCATGTTACCTCTTGCTTCAAATCCCGCTTTATTCACTCTAAACAAACCAAAACTGCCTTTTTCAATTGATTCCTTGATGGAAAAAGATAGTAATGATAACTCAAAATTTTGTACTTCCAGCAAGTACTCATTTACTCAACATAGCCATCTTCCTATAGTTCCACTTCCAACACGGCAGCAGTCAACCTTCCATGCTGTCCAACCGATAGGCGGGTTCCGAGGAAACACAGAAGCGGCACATTCCTACCACTGTACACGTGTGGGCCCTTCCTTCCATTCTGTCTCACCATGGCTACAAACCCGAGAATCATACCAGTTAAGTCAGTGGGTGACTGCAGGAAGATATTCCCCATTCGTCCCATACTTAAGGCCAAGTAAGTCATCACCTTTCTTTAGGCATGCAAGACTTGATTATTTTTTTTTGTTTATATTTCTATTACTGGTTTGTATTACGTTAAACTCATTAATGCTTACAACCTGATTAAGTGGCAAAAAATAAACGAGAGACAAATTCCATTTCTTGCAGTGAATAGTGAAATGTTCTCTATTAACATATCGTGAAAAACAACATCAAGTATCCCTGAGGAAAAACATAGAAACTGACATACCGATACACTTATATTTTAAACCAAGAGTAATTTTATCATATGAATTAAAATATTTGCTCTGTAATAAATCAGTTGTTGAGACGAAAAAGAAAAAAAGATCCAGATCACTAAGGTAAATACATTTTTGGAGGCCTTCAACAGCTGTCATATCTTTATGTTGCAATGACGACAGAAGAGATAGCAATATAGATAATTTATATAAAGGACATCGAAAAAGTTCCCTTGTTTATTATTTAAACACCTAATTCGGATGGATATTTCTAATATTTAAAACTTGATATTAAAAGTCATGATAACAAAGAAAAGTTAGTAAATACGAACAATCGTATTAGTAGCAGCAATAACGAAACATCTTCAAAAGAAGACAAATTCCTGTAAATCGTAGTTCTAGAGCGATCATTTTGATATATGGAGGATTTGTCCTCTAACTCTCCATCTTTGTATGTGTATTGATATATGGAGGATTTGTCCTCTAACTCTCCATCTTTGTATGTGTATGTGTATAAAATGTAAAGACTTCTCTGTATGTATTATGAAGTACTTAAAAATAATAAATAATTACACATGTACATAATATCCTCATATATTTACTAGTGATCACGCATTATATGTAGAATTTTCCTTATATATATATATAATACAATGTAGTAAACGATATAGCACAAAAACCTTAACCTTAGTATTTACAAAATATATCTACAAATGTTTACAATATTAATAAATATATTATACTTACTTTCCTCGACGATTTTAGAATGTGTTTCGTACAAAATATGAAGAAAGATTTAAAAACTCAAAACATCAAAATTGAGTTAACGCAAATTAAGAAGTTAGAAGGGGAGAGAAGAAAAGAGTTATTGTCGTACAAACATAGGAGCGAAAACGGGTACTTTAGGCCTTTCACTTACAGCACGTCACTTAGTGCGGGCGGATGCTTACTCAATAGCTCCTGTGACTCCTGTGGGTGGATGTAACGGTTGTAGGTGGACGTCTACCCTATGGCTCCTAGGAGTTATTGTCATACAGCCACAAGGACGATAACGGTTGATTTAGCCCACAAGTTTCTTTGTCTTGCCGCCCATCATTTAGTGCGGGCGGACACTTACTCTATAGCTCCTATGATTTATTGACGTACAACTACAAGAACGACAAGGGGTCTTTAGCCCATAAGTTCCCTTATCTTACCATCCATCACTTACTGCGGGCGAACGCCTACCATATAGCCCCTATGAGTTATTGTCGTACAATCATAATGTCGACAACGGGTGCTTTAGTTCATAAATTGCTTTGTTTTACCGCCCATCACTTACTGTAAGCGGAAGCCTTCCCTACAGCTCCTATGACAGTAAAATTAACTGGTTCTGTAAGCGGACGCCTACCCTACAGCTCCTATGACAGTAAAATTAACTGGTTTGTGAGAATAGTTTTGTTCTGTTATGTTTAGTATTAAATATTAAGGTAAATATTTATGCCACCGGAGACACGTAATTAAACTTCCCAATGCTGTTACACAAATTTTTCACACTTTATTTTCTTCGTATAAAAATGTCATGATAGCACATAGTGTCCAATAACAATCATAGTTGAACAACATGTTCTTGTTTTCCTAGTCAACTATAAAGTCCACAATTTCTAGCATAAGACAGTCAATGAGTCGTCATATAGACGTATAAGCCTTATATGTTTTTCTAGAAATTGATTAAAGTTGGCCCCCAAGGACGTCAATTTGAGAGGTTTTATTCCTTTGGGTAGTTAGTTAGTTAGTTACAAGTAGATGTGTTCTCACCGTAATCTCAAGAGCTGTATTAAGAAAGCATAGCTGTCTTAGCCAACTGTTTGCACAACGTTTCGAAATATGGTACTCTTTTTTTTCTGGCATCTCTTACATAGTGCAACAGCAACAGTTTAAAACAAAAACACTTTTACTATACCTACAAGCCAAGAAAATATAGCCATAAACCTAGATGCCAAATTGAGGCATACTTTTCAGTGGAGGGATGGACATTCCACCTCTTACCATCCTTTGCTGAAATCCCACTGATCTGAAAAGAAAACTTTAGCATTCATATCAGTTGTTAAGAAATAGGGTGAGTTTGTTCAACTAGTACACCTACAAATAGATAACACAACTGATTTTACTAACTGCCATAAACGTCAACCTATTTTCAGTGTCTCTAAAATCCAATATAAAACTAAAATAATCATTTACAACTAACGTGAAATATCGTTATACTCCTAACATAATATAAAATAAAATGAAATCGTTTACTCCTCGAATGTTCTTTATCACTTGCTTCCAATATTCACATCACTTATTCCATAATTACTAGTGTTTGATTTGGCTTCAAAAATCACAATAGCTGAAAACGTAGTTTCCATAGTTACTAGTGTTTGATTTAAGACCAAAAATCAATCACAATCGCTGTTGTCATAGATACAAGTGTCTGATTTAGTTCCAAAATTCACAGTCGCTAGTGCCATAGTTAGCAGTGTTTGATTTATTTGCAAAAATCTTAACAACTGATAACTTATTTATTAAGGCTTGATTTTCAACCGCTTAGCATTTGTAGGGTTATTGTGTATAATTCAGTCAAATAAGAACAAAAAAGCACTTGAAAACGATATGTATTTTTAATGACCAAAAGCAAATGGAAGACAATAAAATAAAATAAAAATATTTTGATGAAAAGTTTAGCAAAAACGATCCCTATATATAATTTTTTTAACCAACGTTTCGGCTTTGCGACTTCCTCAGGGTTAATATACACAACTATTCAATGTATATTAACATTGAGGAAGCCGCAAAGGGGAAACGTTGGTTAAAAATAAATATATATATATGGAGTGTTTGGTTGTTTGTTATGGATTTCGCGCAAAGCTACACGCAGGCTATCTGCTCTAGCCGTCCCTAATTTTGCAGTGTAAGACTAGAGGGAAGGCAGCTAGTCGTTACTATCCACCACCAACTCTTTTACCAACAAATAGTGGGATTGACCGTAACGTTTTAACGCCCCCACAGCTCAAAGGGCGAGCATGTTTGGTGTGATGGGGATTCGAACCCGCGACCCGCAGATTGCGAGTCGAGCGTTTTAACCACCTGGCCATGCTGGGTTATCTGGAGTGTAAAGGTCGTTTTTTCTAAACTGTTATCAAAATATGTAAATCCCTCCAGTATGTACTATAAATTTTGAAAGACATCAAAAAATTAAAAGATACAAAAATATTGAAAAAACATGTTATATGAAGTTAGAAATATAAATGGCGCTAATAGACTGAAATAAGTTCAAACATATTTGTTTGCTTCAGAACAAAGTTGCGCTGTGCCTAACACAGAAATCAAATTCTTAACGTTACTGTCTTCAAGTTTTTTACTGAGCCACTGGGCGGGAAATTAAAGCATAAAAAATATCTTTGGAGTCGTAAAAAATATTTTACTCGATTACAATAATTGCATAAACAACGCTTTTTGAAAATAATGAATTCCCATTATGTTATTTTTACATAATAAAAATGTACTGTTGGAATGAAATTATTTGTTAACATTCAGCTTTTTTTATAATTTCAAGTTATGAGAAAAAAAAACTAGAAACATCCTTAATGTGATAATATTCTTACATTAAACTAAAGTGAAAATGAGGGACAAATATTATTAAAATAAGTCATATTAAACTGATTTTCAAGTGTTCTCGCTTATTGTGGTATGTTATTTCATATAATCATATTCTCTCTAAGAGTTGTGTAATGGGAAATGTTTTTTGGTTTTTTTTTAGTATCTGAGTATGATGATAATTCTATTAATTACTTTACAAATTAATTTGAATGTAAATGACATTGATGTATTTTTGTTAAATGTCCCTAGATACTCTCGTTAAATATTATAAATAATGCATTTTCTAAAGGTCCGAGTGTTTGTTATTATTTATCTTTATCTGACTCCGAATCCCGAGGATTCAGTGTTCGCGACCCTTTGTTTAAAACATGCGCTTCGCACTGAAGGGGGATGTGGGTGCGCTTTAAGAGTGACTATCAAATCCGCCCCCCCCCCCAGTGGCAAAGCGGTATGTCTGCGGACTTACAACGCTGGAAACCGGATTTCGATATCCGTGGTGGGCAGATAGTCCATTGTGTAGCTTTGTGCATAAATTCAAATAAACAAACCTTCAAATCCAACTATTCGATCATAAAAAGAACCCAAGAATTAACTAACTGCCTTCCGTCTAGTATATTAATTAATTAATAGGGACAGCTATGCTGATTGTCTTCCTTTCCGAGATTATTTACCCAAAGTTATTATTTAAACTTCTTATAATTATTTTGTAGTTTTGCATAAAAACAAAAACAAAAAACATATTCTGTACGTGATTATTTCGATCTAACGTATTGCAAGTATGATACTAGATACAGTAAAACTTTTGATAAGACCTGTATAAGAGCAGTTCTGTGAATGTTTGTCCTCTAAAGCACGCTGAATATTCTAACTAATTTTGAGTATTTTCTGAATCATTGTACACGAGACAATAAATCTGTAGTTAAAACGAAGAATTAACATATAATTTAAATTTACGTAGTCGTATAAACAAACATTTTTTTCTCAGTGACCAAAATTACTCTTAATCAATTTTTTTTCCTTCCAAGATTCATGTTTAACTTCGGCAATGGGCTTACGACAAGCGACAATAATTGTTTTTATATCTGTTAAAACATTTTGTCCTGTGCTTTAAGTTATTAAGTTCTAAAGGGTAGGAAATGGGATTTCAGAGAAATAA